CCGTTTTGGCGCGCCGTCGGCGGGCAGACTGCGCAGCTCCACCGTTTGGCTCCGTTTTAGCTCTGTTTCGCCTCATTTCAGTTGCGTTGCGTTCCTAACAGATAGCCCTACAAAATAAGCATGAAAAAAACTTTTCTTTACAGTGTAATCTCATTAAAAAATATGCAAGAAGTGTAAAAGAGATTAAGCATCCAAAGACTTATCGAAAGGTGACAGGGCAAAATATTATTTCTTGCTCGTTTTTGCTCCAAATTGCACCGTTTTTGCATCTTTTTGCTCCAATGACCATAATTCATCATACCTGCAACAAAACATAAAAAATACCCTTCTTTAAAGTGCAATATCATCAAAATCAGTATAAAATATGTATGAAAATCTCAACATATTTTCTTTTGGTCACTGGCCACCTCCTATAATTTGTCGAACACCCTTGGCCGACCATCCTTCGGTCATCTTGGCTGACCACCTAAACCGACAAGCCCCACCGACCGAGAAGGTCCATAATGACAGATCCTAACGAGTAAAATAGGAAAATAAATTGTACAATTCTTGTTAAAGCAAGTGTAAAAATATAATTTTTATATTCTATATTTATCTTCTATAAATAAAAAAACCATGGTATGTATTAAGCTTTCTTGTGATCTTATCTCTCAATCGATCATGTAGGGAGAACTCTCTTTTTCCTTTCTCTTGTAATCATCATGTTAAGTTAAATAAAATAAGTTAAAGAGCCCAGGAACACCCAATCTCTCTCTCTTTCTCTCCTTCGGCACTAGGTTTTATCTCTTGGGCATGATCGAACAGTTCTGGATTTTTAAATAAAAATAAGGGATTGTATGATAATAGATTTAAGTAGGATTCAACTTAATTCTAGTTAGAAATATATATATATATATAATATAATCATAAGCACTGTATAGAATGTTTATAAATTTCCATAAAAAAAAGGAAATTAAATCTATGATCTAGTAAATTCACTTCCTATCTTTGGGTAGGATATGTATTAAATAATATATATTTAAATCTCCTTTTCCAATCAGCCCTAATTATTCAAGCATAAATTAAAAAATATATATTAAATTAGAGGTGCGGATAATCACATGGATCACAACACCGTCATCCGCTGTCTTCATTTTCATGTCAATCTGCAAATTTTTCTGCGTGTAAATCCTCCGGTTCTTTCTAAATCACTGTCACTCCTCTCTTCCTCTTACAAATCATGCCCAAATCCTGCCCACTCACCACCCTGCATTCCCTACATATCCCAATGGAGGTCCAATCACCCGCCGGCGGCCATGTTGCTCCACGCTCTTGCTTGGCCATCTTACGCTGTCCGCCGAAGCCTCTCATTTTTCTCATCGCCGTTTTCTCTGTTACTATAATCTTCTTCTCCGCCGCCCCGATCCTGCTCAATGAGGGCAATGCAAATCAATGGAGCGGCAATGCTCCGGTTGTCGTTGTCGCCGTCGATCCGGTCGACTCCGTCGATCTGGTGAGCTACTCTTTCATTCTATATTATCTCGAATCACTACGCCCGACACGGCGTGAAAAGGGTCGAGCTAGGGTTTTAGGAAATTTCTCTATCTTGTGGTTTTATTTTGGTAATTTTTCATTTGCGTCCATTGATATTTAAGTAATCTGTTTTTTTCTTTTTCTGATTGGTACACTTTGTCAGGAAAATGAGGAAGTGAGATTAGCGCGGGTTTTAAAGGAGGCTTCCATGGAAGATAAAACAGTATTATTGACCACTTTGAATGCTGCATGGGTCTCAACATACTCTATCATTGATTTGTTCCTTGAGAGTTTCCAGATTGGCAATGGCACTCGTTGGCTGCTTGATCACTTGGTGATTATTGCATTTGACAAAAAAGCATATCGTCAGTGTATGGTTATCCACTCCCATTGCTTTGCCCTTACAACCATGGGAATTGATTTTTCTGGCGAAAAGAACTTTATGTCGGATGGATACTTGAAGATGATGTGGAGGAGGATCGATTTCTTGAGGATAGTTCTTGAGATGGGATACAACTTCATTTTCACGGTATGTTTTTCTTTAAGATTTTTTCATGTTCTTACATTATTTGCTTGGTATTACGTATCATCATTTGTAGAATATTGATCTGTCTAAATTCTTGTACACTGGAAACTATTTTCTCAATGGCGTGTGTTTTCGTTATCTTGTTTCTTTATTTTAATCGGACAATCTTTTAACTCTAATCTACCATGTAAAGCGTGTGTTTCATGTTTCGTTATCTTGTTTCTTTATTGTTATCGGACAATCTTTTAACTCTAATCTACCATGTAAATGATAGCAAACTCTATATTAATTTAATAATATTTAAATTTCAATAAAAGTAGCCATTTTCTAAGAAAATGAAATAAATTGTAATCAAAAGAGTCTACTATGTAAATGAAAGTAACTCCATATTTCTTTTATAATCTCCAATTTTCATGAAAAGTGGCCATTTTCTAAGAAAATGAAATAAATTATAATCAAAGGATCAACATAAAGGAAGAAAAAAACAGAACTTCATTGATAATGCCATCATTTTGTTTGATTTAACCATGAGTATGTTAATGATGCCATTATGACGGTGTTGTAGAATTACTAGATTGTCTCCATTATTTTCCCCTAATAGATGTGAATCTCCTTTGAGAGCACTCCTTTTAGTCATTCAAAGATCAGAACTGATTCTAATACATCCAATAATGTATCACAACACATGATGTTTCTATAACTTGAAGAATTAATTGCTCTGAAAAACTATCTATTCATCAAAGACTTGGGCTTATATAGGGTCTTACAACATTCTTTACAAGTAAACCACTAGACTTATTCTATATTTTCTATTTTCAAATAGGACTTTAAACTATATAAAATTCTAACACTCCCCCTCAAGATGGGCAAAAGATTTTCACAAAGCCCATCTTATCACACAACCTAGATAGATTTACTGAGCTAAGTCCCTTGGTGAGGAAGTTAGCTACTTGTTCTTTAGTAGCTACATGATTTATTTCACTATTCAGTAATTCACTATTCAGCTTCTCCTTGATGAAGAACCCATCAATCTAGACATGCTTGGTTCTGTCGTGTTGCACCGGGCTGTTAGCATTGTTGATTGTTGACTTGTTGTAGCACAATTTAATTTGAGCTCTTTGGTCCACCTAAGCTCTACCAATAGAGCTCTCAGCCATAACATTTCGGCAACTCCTAAGGCCATGGCCCTGTACTTTGCCTCTATCATCGTTCTCGTAACTACCGACTATTTCTTGCTCTTCCAAAGACCAAATTTCCCCTACGAATATGCAATAACCTGATGTGGACCTCATGTCATCAACACAACTGACCCAATCTGAGTGACAGTATCTTCCAACGCCTAAATGCCTGTTTTTTCTGAAGATCAACCCATTCCTCGGTGCACTATTCGGGTACTTCAGAATCTGATACACTGTATCCATGTGACTCTTCCTCGGATTATGCATGTAACGAGTCACCACGCTTACTTTAAATGATATGTCGGGGTGAGTATGACTCAGATAGATGACATGGCTTACCATCCTCTAATAGCTCTCATGATCAACTAGCTCTCATGTCTCTGCGCTCAACTTTCCCTTCTCATCAATTGGTGAAACTGCAGGCTTGCATCTCAACATGCTTATCTCTATGTGTAAGCCCAACACATTCTTTCTCTGAGATAGAACAATCCTCTCTGCTTAATGAGCCACTGCAATCCCGAGGAAATATCTAAGTTGTTACAGTTTCTTTGCCTAGTTTCTTTGCCCAAATTTGCTTTTAGTTGAGCAATCTCTCCCTCATCATCACCGATGACAATTATATCATTCACATACAGAACAATAATATTAATGTGACCACCATGTCGTTGAAAGAAACACTATGTGGTCGACATTGATATGCTGATAGCCCATGCCTACCATGCTTTCTTGAATCTGTCAAACCAAGTTCTAGGAGATTGTTTCAACCATATAGTGACTTCCTCAATCTTACCTTTCCCATTGTTTAATTGTGTCGAAGCCTGGGGGTATCTTCATGTATATCTCCTCAAGTTGATTCCCATGAAGAAACACATTCTTCACATCTAGTTGGTGCAACCTCCATCCACCATTCACAGCGAGAGAGGCAAGTGTTCTTACATCGCTTTATCTTTGTTAATGGTGCAAATGTCTCATCATAGTTGATGTCATACGTCTGACTATACTCTTTTGCCACTGATAATGTTTTGTAGTGATCAACCTTTCCTTTTTATGTCTGCTTCACAGCGAAGACCCATTTGCACCAAAGTGTCCTTTTTCCCTGGCAACGCAAGCTCCCATGTTTTGTTCTTATTGTGAGCCCAAATTCCTTCAGCATTGCAGACATCTACTTTAGATCCTTCTTAACTAACTGTCAACATTTGTCTATAGAGACAATGTCCAAAGATGTAATGAATGCTCTGTGTATAGGTGATATATTAGAGTATGAGACAAACTGCACAATATCATGTGAGAAGCCAAAATGATAAAGAGAATAATGATTGAGAGGTTGACCTGCATTGCTAGGAGGGGTCCTCCAGAAAGTCATGGGAGTGGGAGGAGAAAGGAGGGCGATCATATCACCTATGTAATCGAATTTCGAGGTAGCTGGTGTAGGTGTCTCAGGAGTCGGGGTAGAACGAGACAAATGACTTGTTGACACGATTGACACGACAGACATTGTTCCCTCATTCTGCTTTCTCCTCCTTGTATACACCCTCAACTCTCATTGAGCTTAAATCCTACCATCTTTGGGCTCATTTTCCAGCTCTTTCTCAGTCTATCTTTTCTACACAATCAGATAAGGTATCGTTCCCACATATACCAATCTTTCACCATCACTACACTTCTCCTCTCGCCTCATACCTCCAGCATCTTACGAGTCACCGAATGGTGAGGTCGCTTTCAAGGTGTAGTACGATTTGAATTCTCTGAAAGTCACATCTATACATTCTCTATTGGGATCCAACAAACATACCTATTTTGATGGCAGAATAACTCACGAAAATATATTTCACAGTTCTGGGATCTAGCTTCCTTATTGATAGCCCATTATCCTTCACAAAACACACCACCAAATACCTTCAATTGGAGGATCAAACCATTTTATCTTTTCCAAAATTCACAAGAAGATCGTCCCTCTAACACAATTGAAGGCATTCTGTTGATTAATTGAGCAGTTGTCAAAACAACTTGCCCCAACAATTATTTTGGGGCATTCATCAAGATCAACTTGGGTACCTTTAGAAGGTATTTATTCATCCTCTCTGCTACCCTGTTTTGTGCTGGTGTGTATGGACAAGTGGTTTGATGTTGCATCGCTTGGGCTGACAAGTATTCTCTAAACGTTTTGATGCTGGCAGAAGTTGCGGTCTATCTGTGATGCTAAGGGGAGCTGTGGTCTCTTCGTGCAAGCAGGGTTGAGACCAGCAGCCTCTTTGTGCAGAGGAAGGCGTTGGTGACTGGCAGGGGAGGAAGGAGGAACGAAGGGTTGATACACACCAACTTGGGTGAGGCACAGTCGTAGCATTGCTCGTCATCGTATACAACCCTCAAAGAGGGAACACCTGGAAGAAACGCGTGAAATCAGAAAATGATCAAGAATTGTTTAGTGACCGGCACACAACAATTATGAATAGTTAGAAGTAGGGGGCAAACTAGGTAGTAGAGAAATAGGCAAGAATTAAAGGAGAGTGGAAGGAATGGGCAAGAATTTGAAATTCAATCTAAGTAGGAAGGAGAGGATTTGGTAAGGGGGGAATTAAAGCTTGAGATGATGAGGGGTGGAAACTTGGTTGGTCTGGATGGTCCGGTCTAGCAGGGATTCTGGAATGGTTTGCACCAGGCCGATCCAAAGAGCCCCCGCGTCGGTCTCCCTGGGTTGGGTAAGCTTCAAACACATTTGTCGAAACTTCAGAATCCTCGATGTATGGAATGAGATTCACGACATTAATTGTTGTTGAAATTCAAGAGTCTCCCAGTAGATCAAATTTTGTAGGTTGTCGTTTAGTTTCCTTTTTTCACTGAAAGGTCCATCGGCTCGGGGTTTGAGTTTTTTGTATGCTCCTATGGGAAATTGCTCCTTTAGTCGAATCTCAATGAGGTCTCCTTGAAATAATACTTTTTTCCGGGACTTATTTGCTTGTGTTTGATACTTATGGTTCTGTTTCGTAATTGTCTTCCCCGCTTCCTTGTGGAGTTGTTGAATCTGGTGAACATGTTCGTTAGCATCCTCACTGATCTTTAATGTGAGTAGAATTGGGACAACTAAAATGGTGTGGGCAGGTTAATTTTAGAGAAGACGGTGGCTTCGTGTAGCTAATCTAAGAGATCATCGAGGTGTGATATGGAAAATCAGTAATTGATGGTAATTTTATTGATGGTACGACCGTCAATGCACATTTATCATAAACCTCCTTTCTTGGGTACTATAAGGGCGGGGACAACACACGTACTACTGTTTTCTCAGATTAATCCTCGTATAACAATATCCTGCACCTAAGTCACAATCTTTAGGCGGGGCGATTTGGCAACACCAATCCCAGTTTAAGATCTATGACTTGTTGGATGTCCCATAGTGGTGACAAGAATTCTGGAAGGCTCTCTGTCATTATGTCCTTGAAGTCGTGCAGGAGAGTTTGTACACGTGTAGATATCTCCTCTTCGTCGGCCCCTTTTAGGAGGACTAATGCAAGGGTCATTGGGGTGTGTCGAACTGATTGTAGGAAGGTGGCTCGCGAGACTAACGAATCCTCTATGTCAATGAATTCTTTTGCATTCTTGACAAGTAATAACATGATGCGCTTCCCATCCTTCTTGAATGTGTATGTGTTCTTGAAATCGTCGTGTTGAGTGTTCCGGTCAAACTGTCATGGTCTTCCTGGCAAGATGTGACATGCATCCATCGGAACCACATCACGCAAAACTTGCTCCAGTAGCTGATTGCCAATTGAGAATTCGGCTAAACATTGCGAATCGACATGTATCTTGTTCCCTCTTTTCAACCATGTG